ACTCACATTCACATTTATTCAAATTTACTTGCRATATGTTATAAGTTCRGCACTCCATAAACTTATTGGATAACCTTATTTTCTATGAGTGATAATTATTGTTGGGTTTGGTTAGCTGTTTTGGAAAATAGAATTGACAACAGTGTTAGCCTAATAGTCAAACACTTTATGCTGATCCGCTGTCAAGTTCTGTGACTGTTTTTTTGAAGATTGATTGTTGAGTCACAATTTATTATAATTTAATATTATTTTATTTCTTCTTGTAGCCACTGAGAAACGCGGTCTAGGTGGTGCAATGAATGAATTTCGAGTTTAAATGCAATGGGTGTTGGATCCAGAAGATCGACTACAAAAGCAGCCAATTAGCCTTTGAATCTAGAAGAAATTTGGTATCTTTGGCCTTGTCCTTAGCTTTTTTTGTTAGTGGGCAYGGGTTTGCCAAGTATCGCAAAACACTGGGGAGGGGATTGGGGTTAGGTGTTGTGTCTGATAAGCCTTTTTTAGAMGTTATTGATAGTGCCTTCTTGAAGATCAAAGAGATTTTGGATGAGTTKTGTGATGATTGCAAAAATCAAATGAAGCAACTTCCAGAAACTACCTTGGGTAGTTGGTCTCGTGCCGTGACCACATGTGATGGTTGTTGGCTAATCAGAGGGTACTTAGTCAAAATAGCACCTTAATTATAAAGAACTATTTCACAGGTGGTCTTCTATACTATGGCCATCTGTCTATGAGAGGTGCTGACAGGATATGCAATGAGGAGTTGTGGCAAGGTACAGCGAAAGCGGCAGAAGGCCATTTGGCACAAGTGCTATGGTCCAAAGCAAAGGAGGAAGAGTTGAAAGTTGAGATCAACTGGCAGGATGCAGACTCCTCATCTGCATTAGGTTTTAGATATGTGTATCCAAGTGAGTCTGAGTCTAAGATAATGTTGTGTGGGGGGCATGTGGGGAGGGCTCATGGGAAGAAGTCCCCTGCTATAGAATCGGTGGAATGTATTTGTAAAGGCAAAAAGCATAGGTTTGTCGCTACCAAGAACCTCCACTTTTTTATCGCTTTTTTGCAAGTTTATATTATATGTCATCGCGTATTTCMCAAAAAAAGTTAATCGAAGTGACATCACGGAGTCCAATGCCCACGAACGTCCTTAAATGATTCTTGCCGACCAATAATTTGACTTTGGGGATGGGGAAGAGGCGAAATTTGACCGTAGCTACATTYCTTTGAGTTCGACATTTGTACAGATCATATTTACAAAGTGGATTTTGGACCTTCGCGGTCGATTTTCTCTGTTGAATATTCGCATAAGGAGATTGCACCAACTGAACTTTTACCGAGAAAACACTGACTCAGGCGAAAACATTTGTCTCTTGTCTCATTGTAGATCTTAAGGATATAACTTAAAAGGCTATCGCATTCTGTCCATTCCAGAATAAAGCGAAAAGCACAACAACTAAGTGTCAACGATGGTTAAATTGGTACAGAGATTATCAAGAAATCACACTCATGCCTGCCTCCTCTAACTATCTTTGCTTKTTTTTTGTCTGATACATGATTCCACATCTCGCAGCATTATTGACGAAGTGCGCAATGGAATTAAATGGGCAAACAAAATAGCTGGTTATGGGGACCCCATTGCAAACGATGCCAAACGAATTCTTAGTAAACCCATTCAAAAGAAAGAGCACGTCACCCCAAAAATAAGATATCCCTTTTCACTACGTACGGCCACGAAACATCTAGTGTATCAGATCTAAGAGTTTTGACGTTAAGTGTGCTATGCTATAAGGTTTGACGAGGCCAGTTTTGCTTTTTTCATCGAAAAAAGCAAAACAGATATTTATCGCGGGGGTACAAGTATTTTGATAGCTAGAACCCTGAGCCCTTCTTGTCCCATTAAATTATTAAGTACATATTTTTTCTCTGCACCAATTCAGGAAGGCTCGGACAAGTACATATTTAGGCCCCTTTCGTGCCTTTGGGTTTCAGGTACTTTTAAGCTTTGCGCGATTAAACCCTTGTCCTACGGTAGAGCGAGAGAGATTGTGTTAGATGCTTTCAAGAGGATAGGTCTCGCTAGGACTAATTTTGTGTTGCATAGTTTCCAGGCAGGGGGGAGGGSTGTCTTCGGCAGCTGATAACGCTGACCATCTTTTTAAAAGGCATGGTAGATGGCAATCTGAGAAAGATAAGGACRGCTATATTAAAGATAACATCCAAGCATTGTTATCTGTGTCGAGACGTAACAAAGGTTGACCCTTATAAATGCTATATACGAACTAATTCCTTTTTTTATTCTTTWTACATCGTTCCCGTTCCTTATATTCGCGCACACGCTGTCGTGTGGACATCCTCCTGAGGTCTGCGTTATACTAAATGGTAAATGATTTAAATTTGGTTGAGTGGTGGAGCGAATTAGAATATAAATGCATTTAACATTGTTTATTTAGCAAGTACTTTGAACCCAGCAGCTGGTTTGTTCTTTTTAGACCAGCTGCTGGACACCGCAAGTTCTTCAACCGCAAGTTCTCCACCGCAAGTCTAAATCAAGTTCTCAAAACTTTGCAGCCAAAGGCAATTGGGAAAAAAACAAGTGTAAAATTGTTTATGCAAAAATGACAAAGAATGAGGGCCTTCCTGTATTTTACGAAATAAAACAAACTTTTATCATGCTAAATGATAAAACAGCAAACCTACCAAATGTTACATACATGGCTAGTGACAAGTTTGGAGAAGTTGCAACATTTGTCGCTGGCAATGGACGTCCAATAGAGGATTAGCCAGGGACACGGTGTAGGTGAGGACTAAATGAGCATTTGTGTAAATAAAAATAGTCCAGCATGCCATAATATTATTGTTTGAAATGTCTTCACTGTAATGAATTGTTCATCATAAAA